GGGCCAGGGGAAAAAAAAGAGAATGTTCTCCTGACTTAACATAAATGACGACTTAGGATCCAACTCAGGCTGTTTCGATTTTCCCAAAGAAGAGCAATCAAAACCAGATTAAAACATGAGTGAGGAAGGGGGGGGGAGAGAGAAACCATCTCCTGATCCACATCTGTACATCCCCCCGAATGAATTCTGCTTACGTGGACAAAAGCCGAAGGCAACGCCAAGGAGCAGGAGAGCTTGGGTGATTTCCCTCACCCTTCACTACTCCGCTGGCTGCTATTAATATCCCTTTCGGCTCGTGATGCAAGATACACCCACCCTTTTCTGAGAACCGAAGCAGACAGCCTGTGATAACGCCCCGAGCGCCAGCCAGCTGGCCTGTATAAAAGTTGCAGCTGCTCCGTGGACTTCCTCATTGGGCTGCCTCCTCAGCCAAGCAAGATGAAGCTCGCTCGCACAGCGGCGTTGCTGCAGGTAGTAGTAGCCCTGCTTTTTGCACACAGCTTCGCTCTGTCGGAAGAACATGCAGGAAGGGGAGAAGGAGAAGGAGAAGGAGTTGGAGAAGAGAAAGGTCCCCCAGCTTGCCCTCTCCTGCTCCAGAGCAGCGGGAAGTGTGATGGAGAGGACTGTCCCTACCAGGTGAACTTCCCTCCCCTGAGCATCCAGCTGCCCAGGCAGTTTCAGCTGATGGAGAAGACCCTCCAGGAAGTGCAGCTCCTCAAAGAAACGGTCAACAGCTTGAAGAAATCCTGCCAGGATTGCAAACTCCAGGCCGACGACAACCGAGAGAAGGAGAGCAACGACTTTCTGCCGCCGGGCGCCGGGGGTCCCGCCAACCAGAGCGTGGGCCAAGACAACCGGGTCACGGATCTGCAGGACAAGGTCTCCAAGCTGTCGGAGAACCTGAAGAACGCCAAGAACCAGATCCACACTCTGCACGGCCGGCTGGAGAAAATGAACCTGGTCAACATGAACAACGTGGAAAACTACGTGGACAACAAAGTGGCCAACCTGACTTTTTTCGTCAACACCCTGGACCTGAAGTGCTCTTCGCAATGTGCGGCGGTGGGACCCAGTACAGGTAGGTCGGCTTTTATCATCTCTAGAAGGAATTTAGAGTGTTAGCGCTCTTGCTGCGTTGAGAACGTTGTTGAACCGGGTTATCCAGAAGCCAGGGTTTGGGGTTTGCCTGGGTCAAAGAATAGAATAGAATAGAATAGAATAGAATAGAATAGAATAGAATAGAATAGAATAGAATAGAATAGAATAGAATAGAAATAAGGAATGGAATGGGAATAGAACAGAACAGAACAGAACAGAATAGAATAGAAATAAAGAATGGAATACAAATAAAGAATGGAATAGAAATAGAATAGAATAGAATAGAATAGAATAGAATAGAATAGAATAGAATAGGAATATAATGGAATGGAATGGAATGGAATAGAAATAGGAATAGAATAGAATAGAATAGAATAGAATAGAATAGAATAGAATAGAATAGAATAGAATAGAATAGAATGGAATGGAATAGAATAGAATAGGAATATAATGGAATGGAATGGAATAGAAATAGGAATAGAATAGAAATAGAATAGAATAGAACTGGAAGGGACCTTGGAGGTCTTCTAGTCCAGCCCCCTGCTCAAGCAGGAGAACCTATACTGTCTCAGACAGGTGAATGTCCAGTCTCTTGTTAAAAACTTCCAGTGTTGGAGCATTCACAGCTTCTGGAGGCAGGTTGTTCCACTGGTTGATTGTCCTCACTGTTAGGAAGTTTCTCCTTAATTCCAGGTTGCTTCTCTCCTTGGTCAGTTTCCAACCATTGTTTCTCGTCCTGCCTTCTGATGCTTTGGAGAATAAGTTGACCCCCTCTTCTTTGTGGCAGCCTCTCAAATATTGGAACTCTGCTATTGTGTCTCCCCTATTTCTTCTTTTCTTTAGACTAGCCAAACCTTAGTCCCGCAGCCGTAGTCTCCAGGCCTTTGATCATCTTAGTTGCTCTTCTCTGAATTTTTTCCAAATTCTCAACCTCTTTTTGGGGAAAAGGGGACCAAAATTGGCTGCAGTGTTCCAGGTGTGGTCTGACTAGGGCTTTGTAAAGCAGCCCTAGTACCGCTTTAGAAAAGAGCAATGGATGAAAAGTGAATTAAACCTCATTATTTGTGGAATGAGGGAACCCTCTGAAAGAGTGAGAAAAGCAGCAGGTGGATAAGGCTGAAGAGATTAGAAGTGAAATCAAGTCCTCGCCTTACGACCGTAACTGAGCCCCAAAGTTACGCTGCAAAGCGAGACATCGGCCAAGGGAATTTTATACCCCATTTTACGATTTGTCTGGCCGCCGTTGTTAACCTGCAATTGTTAGGTTAGTGACAGGCTTGTCCCCCTCGACTTTGCTTGTCAGAAGGTCGCAAAAGCGGATAGCAGGACACCCCTCCCAGGACGCTGCGACCGTCATAACTATGAGTCAGTTGCCAAGGGTCTGAGTGTTGATCGGGTGATCGTGTGGATGCTGCAAAGATGGCTAGGTGTGAAAAACGGTCATAAGCCCCTTTGAACTTTGAACGGTCGCTAAATGAACCGTCGTAATTCGGGGACTGCCTGTATTAGCTCAGCTGAGCAGCAGCATCAGTCAGCACTTAGGTATGGATGTTTCTGTTTATGAGAAAGGATTTAGGACCCAGGTACAGCCTCACAATTTTCGGAGACGTTTGGATCAACAGCTGAGGGGAAAGTTCAGCGTCGCAACTTATATGTGAGAAGCTCAGTGTCCAATGTTAGCAAACTGACAATACACACACTATCCATCCTCAGCTACCCTAGTCCAGGGGTAGGCAACCTTGGCTCTTTTATGACTCGTGGACTTCAACTCCCAGAATTCCTGAGCCGGCATGGCTCAGCTTGGAAACCTCTCCCTTTCCCCTCAGCGTGGCTGGCTCAGGAATTCTGGGAGTTGAAGTCCACGAGTCATAAAAGAGCCAAGGTTGCCTACCCCTGCCATAGGGTCTTCAAATTTGGCAACTTGAAGACTTGTGGACTTCAGTTCCCAGAATTCCTCAGCCAGCCACGCTGGCTCGGGGAATTCTAGGAGTAGAGGTCCACAAATCTTAAAAAGTTGCCGAGTTTGGAAAGCCCTGAATTAATGCACAGAAACTGAAAAAAAAAGTCCGCTTGATTTTATTGTAGAGGTAGTTCTCCTGTTGATGTTAGTATCCATAAGGTAGACAGACTTAACCATGATTTCAATCGGAAGAATGTGGACATCCTAGACCAGGGGTAGGCAATCTTGGCTCTTTTATGACTCGTGGACTTCAACTCCCAGAATTCCTGAGCCAGCCATGCTGAGGGGAAAGGGAGAGGTTTCCAAGCTGAGCCATGCTGGCCCAGGAATTCTGGGAGTTGAAGTCCACAAGTCATGAAGGGGTCATAGTTCCCTCATGCTGGCTCAGGAATTCTGGGAGTTGAAGTCCACAAGTCATGAAGGGGTCATAGTTCCCTCATGCTGGCTCAGGAATTCTGGGAGTTGAAGTCCACGAGTCATAAAAGAGCCAAGGTTCCCCACCCCTGCCCTATTTCAGGGGTCCTCAACCTTGGCAGCTTTAAGACTTATGGACTTCAACTCCCAGAATTCCTGAGCCAGCATGGCTCAGCTTGGAAACCTCTCCCTTTCCCCTCAGAGTGGCTGGCTCAGGAATTCTGGGAGTTGAAGTCCACGAGTCATAAAAGAGCCAAGGTTGCCTACCTCTGTCCTAGACCAAGTCAAGTCCAAAAACAGGGAATTTCTAGAAGCTTGCCACTCTGACC